CATTTAATTTTAAATAAATAAAAACAATTTGAATGTTATTTTAATTGCATCATCATTACGGCTTTTGTATAGAAGTATCATTTCATTGAACAAACTAACTGAATGCTTTATCAATGTAAACCGAAATATTTGGGGCATGCTGCAGGTAAAGGTGAATGTTTTTACAGCACACACTCTCCTGAAACAGACTATTTATCATTCTTTGAAAAAGGGGGACATGAAAAAACAATACTATGTGTGTGGCCTACATTACCTTCACTTAATGCACTAAATACGGGTTTTCTGAAAATCATGAAGTTTCTGCACCATTGATAATCTGACAGTAAGTATTTATTGAAGGTAAAACACTCATTGTCTGTGGACACTATTTGTTTTAATATATAATCTTGCTAACCAAATGATCTTTAAGCAATGCAGATAAGCAATGGCATGCAAAGGGTCACTTAAATGCCAATTTGACTGTTTCATAAACTTAAGCATTCTTTTCCCATGACTATTCTCAGCTACTTAATTGAAAGTATTATCCATTTACAAACTTTAGGCCTGCCATAAAAAGTCTCTCTTCTGTATCCAATAGACCTTTCAGGACCCTAAGAACAACAAAAGCTAATAATTAAAGCTGCTGCTTTTTCCCCCCACCTCGTGTTCTCAATAGAGAAGTGAAGAAGCAACCTATGGTACATCTAAACAAAGCTATCTATAAAGATCTTATTAGCAGTGAAGACCATAAAACTAGAGAGACTCACTTGACATGGGATGGACAGGATCAGTTAAATTAGGACACTGTCTGTACTACTTTTGTAATCTGCACTCCTACTACAGAACGACAGATACAACCTATGACAAGAGCAAGGTAATAAGCAGTTGGCCTTAAATTACAGCTCACCATGTAAAACCTCCTGAATTTCAGACAAGGACTGACTGTAATACAAATTCAAGTTAATGAATTTTTAATACATCTTCTCTATTTAAAGATGATGACTTACAGCTGGCATTGCTTATATTAAATTTGTGGTATTTTCCATTGTTTGTTTTTAATTATTTTGATTAGATTATGCTTGGAATTGTATGGACAAATTCAACCCCCACATAAGCAACTTCAGTTTCTGCTGCAGTCAAGAGAAGTTTCATCTGCATACAGGAAGACTGAATAGGCCCTCTGGATTTTAAAAACTGTGTCAGAACTATTTCAAGGAGATAAATAGCAAATTAAAACTAGAGATACCAAATTAGAGTTGATAATTTAGATCAGAAATTGCAAATGTTTGGATCTAAATTTGAGGGCATGGCATTATTTCTTTGCCAAACTTATTTGCCATGCTATGCACTAATAACTTCATGCCTTCTCAATATTTTTCTCATAATAATGAAATAAGATTTTAAAATTACTTGACATTTGAAGCCTGACAAGGCACAGATTGTTGCAAGTAATGTTCCTCTTGTAGCTCTTTCTGAATTTCATCTGGTTTAATTTTTGATATTGCTTTTCCTTCCACCCGTAGCACATCCAAGGATGGAGCCTAAAATGTTCATGAACAGAAGATAAACTCCATGTTACAAACTCATAAGTTATATGGATATTTTCACACTCACTCTGGAGTAGAACAAGGAGCAATGGCAGACAAGCAACTCTGACCATCAGAAAACACAATTCTATTAAACCAGAGTACTTTAGAATTGCTGTCACTATGCAGATCACAGAAGCACCCACAGCTATTCAGGATATAGAATAAGCAGAGAAGTGTGATAAAACAAAATTTCCAATTTGCCCTACCTGAATTACACTTCTAAATAGTGTACAACATGAGTGTATTTCAATATATTACAAAGAGAATAATCAAAAGAGCATCAAAATTATAATATTACTATTCAGAACTATTAAACATAGAAGAGCATGAATGTATCTAAAATTTGGTTTATATTTTTATGCAAATTCAAACAGACACATGTGGTTTAAAGGATGACATTTTTAGAAATTTCTTCAAGGTTGTTTATTAAATACAAGAACTTC